ATTCTAAAGAGGGCTAGGCCCCTCCAGCCCCCTCTATTTGCGCCTATTACAACAAGTATATACCATAAAATATATGTCCAATAAAAAATAATATTGGGTCTGATCACTCTAATAGTAGGTACTACATATACCTATTAATAAATAATAAAAGACAATAGAAAATATTTGATAAAAAAGTTTTGATATAAATTTCAATATTTTAAATTTTCATAAAATTTCAAGGTGGGCTAAGGATTTTTCAGGAACTGCCACTGATTAGTACTGTTTATTCCAATCAATTTTATTTTAGTACGTGTCTCCGTGATGGTATTAATATATATAGGTATTTACTGGTATAATATTATAATATTATTCTTTTCTGTGGTTTTGGCAAATAATGTCTTAAATTCAGAATCGTCGGTGGATACATTTTTCTTTCTGAGAGCCGCCAAAATATGATTACACCATAGACCAGAGATGGTGAACTAATCGTAAGCGTGCTAAAAGTGGCACGTTGCTCAAATTGCAATAATGGAACGCAAAAATTAAAATTTAAAAAAAATATGTTATTTCCGTTATAAAGTTTGTTTATAAGAAATTTAAAGAAACAAATTATATACATTTAAAAAATTATAATATACTTCTGTAAAATGTTAATATATTTTTAAATACTATTTAGAATTTAAAACAGGGCATGTGAACAATTTTCATAACCTTGATTTTAAAAATTTGGTACTCGATCCAAAAAAGATTYGCCACCCCTGCCACAGATGATAGACCTAAAATATAACAATAAATCGCGTCATGTAATTTCTCTCTCTAAGTGCTGTCCATATTTTATAGGTCTATAGATAACGAAAAAGTACCAACGGTTAGGTTCTTGCCAGTTTTAAGTCTGAAGGGCTATTTTATATAAGCGCAAAGGTGTGGGGGGTAAGTATTGTGCAAACGGTTCACCCTCAAGTGGCGATTCCATAAGGGAAAAAAGCGCCGAAAATATTTATTTTTTTTAATATATATTTTTACCTACTATCTATAATGATTTTTCACACGATAATTATTATGATTGAATTATATTTAAATATTTAAAGTATTTAAAATTGTTATGATAAAATAAGTACCTATTGGTACACCTAATATAAATAACAAAATATGGCTAATTAGTAGCTCAGTAATTTTAAATACATTAAACTAATATTAAAGCTGCACTTCAATCATACAATTTTTTTTTTTATTTGAATTAAGCCTCGGCAATCATACAATTATAATACTATAATAATTAGGACCCGGAAGTTCATGCATTTGCATGTTTTTTTTTGAACCATTAGATTTATTGCTAAGTGAGCTAGAAATGCATTCCAAGACACTACGAAAAACATATCAAAAGTTTATAGTGCATATTTTTGCATATTTAGTGATTTTTGAATTTTAGAGCATATTTCYTAAGTTTACAATTTTTTAGAGCATATTTTATAATTTATAAAGAATATTAAAGATACAGTATAAAAATTCGTAAATAAATAAATGCATTTATATTGAGATAACTTACTAGATATCCTTATATCGTATTTTTCAAATTTCCATTTGACATTAAAAACAATATTTTTCCCCAATTGGTTTTATAATATATTAATATATATATTTATACATTTTAACTACAGCTAGCTTTATCGGCTTTATCTTATTACGTCGATCCGTCGATCGACGAGCGCGCCCGTGCCGAATGTAATGTGTTTAACTTGCTCAATATAATATTCTATATAGCACCCCCACCTTCGATTTTCGAGTCCAAACCTATACCAATCGTTTGTACCTCGTTTGTACCTGTTTGTACCTCTAATAAAATCGTTTGTACCTCAATGGTTTTCAAACTATTCCTACATCCATTTTGGGGGTGCCATGGAAACGCTGGCACCCCCACCTTTGAATTTCGAGTCTAAACCTATACCAATCGTTTGTACCTCGTTTGTACCTCAACAGTTTCTGGTTATTCCAAATTKTTAAGGTGGGGGTGCTGTGGAAATGCTGGCACCCCCACCTTTGAATTTCTAGTCTAAACCTATACCAATCGTTTGTACCTCGTTTGTACCTGTTTGTACCTCAAGTATAATCGTTTGTACCTCAACAGTTTTCTGGTTATTCCAAATTGTTAAGGTGGGGTTGCTGCGGAAACGCTGGCACCAACACCTTTGAATTTCGAGTTTAAACTTATACCAATCGTTTGTACCTGTTTGTACCTCAACGGTTTAAATTAATCATATACAATTGATAATATTAATATATTTGGCAGTAATATATTCTACCCACTTATTTTTTCAATTTTTGTCCTTAAAATTATTTTAATCGATATTCGATTATTTTATAATCATTACTAGCTTTACTGCCGTACAGCATAGTTGTTCCTTAATATATTATATTGATTTTCCTATTCTATTTAAACTATTTTTAGTTAATCTGTTAAATTTTTTTTTATTTTAATTGTAATATTGTATTCTAACCTAGAAAATCTTGAAAAATGGTAATATTTCAGATCTTCAGCCAGTAAAAATGGATGGATTTAGTTATACTCTGACCAATACCTGTGCATTTGATATTAATATTGTCATGAACAGTATTATTAGCTATACTATTATATACCTTGTCGTCATAATACTTACCACTATTAATTAAGCACAGATTAAAAACCGTTGAGGTAAAAACGATTTTACTTGAGGTACAAATGATTGGACAATTGGTATAGATTTAAACTCGAAATTCAAAGGTGGGGGTGCCAGCGCTTCCGCAGCATTCCTAACCTWAAAAATTGGGAATAACTAGAAAACTGTTTATTTAAATAATGTTAAGTTCACTATAATCATTAAATAAATAGTATGTACTGTAGAATGTCGATGTTGCTAAACTGTTTTCTTTTATACACACAGGTCTATATGATATAAAATGTTACATTTTAAAATAATATAACCTGAAAGCTAGAACAACGAATGGAATATATTTCTAATTAATAACTATATAATGAATTATTCCTCGGGATTATAAAAAACAGCCAAGTATAAATAATGTAATAATAAAGTAAGTGTTTCCATAATTGTTAAACATAAAATACCACCAAGGATACTTCATCAGAATAATAAGTTTCCGAGTATTGAACTGTTATATCACTGC